ACAAAACGCTAGATCCGTATTCGACGGCAAAGCATCAACCGACGGCGGTAATAAACTTCTGAATTTGTAGCGCAGTCGGGTGTATCGATCAGCCGAAGGGGCATTCCGGTTTCCCTCGAGCCGAAGTGGATGTTGCTAGCGGATATTGTTAGTAAGAGAGCTTTGGTATCAGGTTATTAGATGCGGCGGGGGTAGGACAAGCTCCCGTATACCCTTGCTTCGAGACAATTCACACGGAGCACATGGTATAATATTCCGTACGTTTGTATGCCCTTTTGTCTGCTAAAGACTACATTTCGCACGGCTCGTTCGCCGAGTTCTTTGTCGGGCGTTAGTTTCCGTAATTAATTCGAACGGAGGTGATTTGTTCGAATTAATTAACGCGTCCAGCAGCAGCCGTTCGCGGACTCGCGAAGTTCTATCAGAGCGACGTGCATAATCGACGAACGCAAGTTCCTACGAACACGCTTGAACGGCTGTGTCCGCTTCACTGTACACGGGCCATAGGAGGATCGTTCCGTAGCAAATAGCGCGTGAAATCGCCGCTGCTGTTCGAGAAGGAATTATCCGGAGATTTTTCCTCGCCTGCCCGCGCTAATTCTTCTCTGTTGTCGGTGCTTATTTGTTTAACTCGCAGCAGTCAAGAAAATTGCCAGGTTCACGAGCCACTTGGTCGGCGAAATGATTTATCTCTGTTCCCGACGTGTTTGTTTAAAGTTCGCTGATTGTGCGCGCACAGAGAGCTTTCGAACGTTCAACATTCGTTGATAAATGAACGTCGAAAATTTGAAACTTGCAACTTGAGATATTTGAAATTTTTCAAATTTGAAACTTGAGATATCAAAAATTTTTCGGACAAAAAATCAAATTTAACAGAACAGAGAGCAGAGTTTTTTAAAGGCATCAAATTCCTAGACATTGAAGACGTACAGCAATCATTATACTTGTCACGAGTGGAAAATTGTGAAAGGTTAATGAGTACGAGAGCATCACCTATGACGCTTATGGTGTTTCACAATTTCCTCCAGTGGACATTCTCACGTTGCAAATAGCGGTAAATTGTCTGCAGGAAACGAGTGGAGAACGTGTTTATACGTTTGTCCTGAGTTCGCCAAGTATCTTTTCCACTGGTCGCATTCCGAACAACAGCGTTGAGAAAAGGGGACAGTATTCTACGAAAGAAGGTTCCAACTTCTGTGTGAAGTTTTCTTACTTCCCCGTACTCCTGATGGACATCGCGAGAATGTGTCAGCCGCATCCCTCCACTGCTACGAGCTTATTCTCGAAATGCAAACGAATTATCGTGTACAGGTGGTATAATAGAAATAAAACGAAGAAAATTCAACAATTAAACGCTGTTCTAAATTAAAAGAAAACGACACAAAAGAGAAAGTAATCAGAATACATTAGCACAACGTACAATTAGAGTATCCCGGACGAATAGAATTTGAACGAAACGTAAAATTATTTACAGAATTTATTCCTTTTGACCTATTTCAAAGACGCTCGTGCGTAGGATAATGCGTATAGGATACGGCACTGTTGTATTTCTGCCGTTCTTTCTTATTATACTTTAATCCCCTATTATCTAAAGTTCATTTCAACCTTCCTTTTCCAGAGCTCGGCTAAAAAGTTAATTGCCTGCATAATTTTGCTCGTTTCTGTGTATGTGTGTGTGTCTGTATATTTACCTTATCACGGCAAAGGTAAAATTGGAGAAATAATTTGTGAACGAAGGATAGAAGAAATATTTAGTCTCAAAATACTCTCTAAAACCAAACCTCCAATTTGCAATGTATGTAATTGCCAAATAACCGTAAAGCGCGTTCTTTTAATCTAACACGGAGGCTCGTTCCAAATTAAAGAAACTTTAAATGAAAATCTGAGTGATCGTTACGGAATACTGAAAATATTCTCCCTCCTAAGGCACTTAACGTGCTATAATAAAACCTACTTTCCGTAATATCGTCGCTAATGCGAAACAGGCATTGTATACAAAAGCATGAAATTCTGTAAATATAATAATTGATTCTGCGTAACTGTGAATTAATTTCACCGAAAGCTAATTATTGAACTACAATAACGACTACAATGCATGTTCGATAAAACATGCTTGCGTTGAATTCAAGAATAATATTCGAGAAAATTAACGACGTTACATGAGTATTACGCAAAGAGGTAGCGTATAACATTTACTGTATCGTGAAAAAAAGAGGAGGATTGCAGATAAGGAAAAAACGAGTAAAAGTTCACGAAGAGATAATAAAATTGATTCAGGGAAAGGGGAGTTGCATTACTTGAGAAGGAAAAACGGAATCCGCTTAGCTCTGTTCGAAGATTCAGAGTAATTGCTAAAAAAAAAAGAAAAACATTTGTACGGAACGATATCGTGGAATTGAAAGTATGAAACGGAAAAAAAAGGCTCGGTCAATTAGCTAGTTAAGCAGTTTAGGCTATCGCGTTGCTTCCCCTCAAACTTCGTATCCGAAATAGCTACCGTTTGCAAAATATGTGTACTATAAAAGTAGATACAGTGCAATATCAAAATAAGATATACATTCCTTGAACAAACGGGGAAATAATGTTCAACGTGTGAAGAAAGCAAACGAAGAAATGGCTGGAAAATTGTGTTATTTCAAATCCATTGACGCATAAATTTAAAGGGCAAATCGAAAGGTTTGGAAAATTCGTTTGTCGAACGATTCGATGAAAGCATTCCAATTGTTTACAAAAGTGATTTTCAAGTCCGACGGTATTTGCCGTGGAAACACAACAGCGAAATCGGAAAGGGTGAGAGGTTAAACGAACAATACGTGCCGTCGTTAACCTCTTGATTTGCTTGCGTATAACCCATCACGGTAAACGGCTTGGTCACCACTATTCTGGACCACATTGAATTAATTAATCCTTTCATTAAATCTAGTGCGGAAACCGGTGCGCCGCTCGAATCTATAACGTGACACACTCGTTCCCGTTTAATCTCTATCTTCATCCAGCTTGGAACATTCAACAGTATGATTTCAGCTACAGTAGGTAACTTTCAGCGTTGCATATTAGGTCATCGTTTTCAGCTGTTCCCTTTGAAACAGCTCCGTTCAAATTTTACATTTTTATTTCACATCATTTCCATAATGACCTTTGACAGATACCTTTGATAACATAATAACACCTTTGCCAACGTATTGTATTACAAGAACATTAATTTGGCTTGTATGAAAGTGTGAATCTCTAGGGGAAAGAGACTGCTGAAAAGTAGAGGTGTGTGAGAACCCGAAAATGTCGGGTCGGATCGAGAATTTTTCTCGGGATCGGGTCGGGTTCCTGAAAAGCATGTCGCAACTCTAGAATGTCGGGATTCCCGAGAATTTCGAGAACCCGAATCACGTTTCACAACTAATTTAGGACGCGTATTATGGTCGTATTAGAGCTAGTCCCGAAACGTGATACGGGTTCTCGAAATTCTCCGGAATCCCGACATTCTAGAGTCGTGAGATACTTTCGGGAACCCGAACTCCTCCCGACCCGTCTCGAGTATCGGGTTCTCGCGCACCTCTACTGAAAGGCGTTTTCAATGTCCTTCGATATTCCTACGTCGTTTTTGTGTAAAGAAATTGTCAAGTGAGGGGAAAAAGTGAAATCGGTTCGAGATAAATCAAGAGAATATAGGGGATGAGGTAGAACTTCAATACCCAGTTGATGCAATTTTTGTACAGTTGTGCAAAAGGATGGGAGCTTTTCTGTTTACCAGGTCTGTTTGCTGTGCCTTCAATTTTTCGCGTACAATTGGAATTTTCGTTTATTTAATCTCCAAGTTGACCACCAAACTACAAACACGATTTTTTCGAGGTTTAAACTATGTTTCGATAGAGATTCATTTGCGTCTTTCTTCCTCTTAGAAATTCGGAATTAATGCTGTTGTAATACGTTGGCAAAAGTGTATCGAACATCGTGGAAGTTATTTGAAATAAAAATATTTATTTTCAGTAGAGTTGTATTTTTTTGAAAGTGAACAGCTTCAAACTCCGGGAACTTTCAGGACGACCTAATACTATATCTGTCGTAACAGTGTCGATGAAGGAACGGAACTGTAACAAATTATTTTTGTAGCATGTCGGTCTAGATCTCTATGCTATATAGCCAGATTTACGAGTATGTGTATTCGTTTATGTACTCGTTTTCATATAACAGTTTGAATAAATTGCGAGACTTTAAAAGATATACGAGACACGAATACACTCTGTATTAATAGTGACAGAACATTTCGAATAGAAATAGATTACAGGAGAGATTCAGCTGCAAGTGACAGTAACATGGAATAGAGAAATAAAAATTCTGAATTTCAAACTAAAATTAAAGTACTCGAAAATTCGGTAATCCCAGCTTGCAAGCCCTAGCTATCGCGATTGAAAGTCGATATCAGTTGAAATCGTCTCTAACATAAAACACAATGAAAAACAAACATTTATCACATTAAAATAATAATGTATGAACAATTTTAACACTGTTTAACTTGGAAATGACATGCGTTTGAAGAACATTTTCCAACACATACGATATTCCTAATTCGTCTATTAAAACCATTTCAAATCCTCCATTCCCCTGTTCATAAAATTAGTCTATTAACGATCTATTAAGAACTGTCTACCAACAATTTCGTACAAAGCACTTCTCTCGTTCGTAACACAAAAACAGCGTTAATTATCATTTAACACCACAATTGCCTCAACATTTTCGGCACCTGTAGAGCTAAGTTCTCCACGATCTCGATGGCACTAGTTACGAACAAATCTGATACATGTAACATAATATCGAGAGACAGGATAATCTAAATACACAGAAATAGTAAGGTTGGTAAATAGTAGAAAATTTTCGAGAATGGATGTCGAAATGGCGCGGTGAACTTAGCTTTCCCAATATTGTTCCTCGTATCACATACACGGGCAAACAGTCCGAGGCCGTTATCACGGCTAGTACCGAATTAATTAATCCTTTCATTAAAGCCTCAGCGGAAGACCACACGGACGCCGACTGTCTGGTTATAGCTGCTATGTCGCACGGGGAATCGGGTTTCCTGTTTTCGGCTGATTCGGTGTACTCTGCCGATTCACTATGGACCCCTTTCACTGCTAACCGGTGTCCCACCTTGGCTGGCAAGCCGAAATTATTTTTTATTCAGGTAAGTCCGCGAGACATTCTCTCGATACAATTACAAATAACCGTAGAGGATCTGGCGATGTTACAGGAACGAACTGAACAGTGGAAACTGAGTGGCTGAACACTTGGGTGCTTCAGCATGTGGATGAATGTTTTGAACGTATGTGCAATTTTTTGGGGAATGTTATGTGACATGCACGTGCTGAATTGAGGAGTGAATTAATTGCAAAAAGTTCTTTCCAAGTAGGAAAGATTATAATTGAAGAATTTGTTAAGGTTGAAAATTCTTCCTCGTTAAAATAGTACTTCGTGGTTCAAAGTTCATTTTGATGTTGGATACTTCTTCTGACTTACGTTGAGCTGCACCGATTTAAGTGTGAAATTTTTAATACCTGCATCGGATAATTGCAAAGTGTTTGTGCTAAAATAAAATTCGACGTTTCGAATTGTCAATAACAAATTGTGAAACAAAGGTAAGCTCTAAGTTCGAGAATAATACGTGAACCACTCTAAACAATCGATTAAACGAGCAAAATATTGACATTCCGTTTGTCGTAGATAAATGTTCTATGGAAATCTCGTTAACGAATTTTCTCTGTCTAGTATTCTTAATACCGACCGTCTTTGTGTCGAGTACCTGTCCAAAATAGTCTCATTCAACGATAATCATTCATCTTCATTTGCATAGAAAACGTGACATTCTTTCTCGAGTTTACTTTCGCCGAGTATGAAGTACTTACTTTTTGTTATTTCGACCTTAAAATAACTAGAATTGAAGTTACGCGTAATTTTATTCAAAGTAACTGTCCCACTGAAAAAGCATTAACCGGTAAATTTTCACACCGACATAATTCCGTTGAAAGTTTCTTAAAACACAATATTACACAAACCGTACTACACGTGATAAAAATCAACTAACCAGCCTTTGTAATTACCAAGCGATTAATCCCTTCTAGCAAAAAATTCCCTTTCTTCAACTTCTATAACGTTTGCTCATTTATCCAGATAAAATGCTTGCAAAGTCTACTAAATCCACATTCAGCAGTAACGGGACAAATAACTGGTACTTATGATTCGTATAATTGTCCAATTAAACTCTTCTCGTGAATGTTTCGGTTTTTCAATTCTCGCGATACTTCCTTTCCAGAGGTGTTTTTATACGGTAGCATTGTCGTGTTAATTTTGCCGGCAGTCCAAGAGTTGTAAGGCTAAAAACGCAGGTGGAGGAAGATTTATTAACATTTTCGTGACCACGAAAACGAATATGTACTCTCAGAAAAGTTGATCTCAATTTGGTATTCGTTAGAGACTTGATGATCGGTAGATAAGTGAGAAATTTTTAAACAAAGGAATTCAGTCACGAAAGGGTTAACAGAAAGAGAATACAACTCTCGCGTGTCAGTTTTAATTTATACCATGGATCATTACTGCAGAGTGTTGACAATTCCTGCGACTTCTCTTCTTTCTAACTTTTGTATAGTAAATTTGAACGATTGTCAGTTTTGACACATTGTCACTGATAAAACGTCTCTGCTGTACAATCAACGACAGACATCTTAATCTTGATATTGTAAATATAATACCCAGATTGGAGAGATAAATTAGTAGGCTTAGGTTTTAAACCTAAGTACACATAGAGTTAACTAAGGATTAACTGCAATAATTAACAGTTGTCCTTTTTTTATCTAGAAATCTAGTTTCTCGACACATTTAGTGTGAGTTTAAAAAAATGTTTCGCATAATTTATAATTCTTTGTCTAAGGATACAGTTAGACATTACCAGAAACAAATGAGAAGCTTGAAAAAATTTATTTGCAGCATATATTATATTTCATAATTTCTTTCTACTCTTTATTTTATGCACATATAAAAACATAACTATCTTTGAGAAGAAGAAAAAAGTAACCGTGAATAATCATAATTCGAGCTCAACAACTTACGATTATTTCTAACAAATTGGACGATTAAAGTAAAGAACAAGTTTGTACTTTCAGATGCTAATCTCCCAATAACCGAAAGAAATGCTTGCCTTAACAATTAAACTTCCAGTACACTTATATAGTCATTAACTAAGATTTCTAAGCGGGAAATACGAAGAGACGAAGGCGCGTCTAGGAGCGACGAGGTAACGAGATAATGTAAATATTTCACGCGATGATAACGTAAAGCTTGATTTCCTTTGCGGTGTAATCCGGGCTGTATCTTCTTCAATTTATCTGCTTCAGGATGATCTCTCAAGGATTTGCAACGCGAAGCGTATTATTGCGGAAACACTGTGTTTTTCAGTTCTCTGCGGGGCCCCGTGAGATGCGCACAGTATATATCCCGCGGGATAATGGAACTGTTTCATGAAAAGATCGCATAATGCACCGGAGCAATTAAGATTACCTTCATTCGGAAGGGACAAAATGATAATCATAAAGAGAAAATTCGTTTATTCAGCGAGAAATTCTGCTTCTATTCTATCATTGTTCCAACCGTCTTTGCCACACTTTTTCCAACGCTTTTTCTTTCTCTGATAAGCTTCTATATCCTCTCCTATCTCTTTCTCTCCGAGCTAAATTGTTCCCGTCGGTGCTTATCGTTCAATTGAAATCATTTCGTTTCGTCCCTGGTAGTTGTAAAATTGTATCGTTTTATTTCCTTGCGTTCGACATGATAAAGCGTAAAAAAAGGAAGTTCTTTCGTGCGAATAAATTTATCGCAACACGCACCATTTCGATTTCATATTCCCGTTTCAATTGTACGAGCAAAAATAGCGCCTTGTAGTTTAACGGAATTCATTCGAATCGGTTATCGGATACACGGAGGCCCTTTTGCGCCTCCGCAAAATATATATATATATCTACAAAACAAACTAGCAACGCCTACAGATGAAAACATTGGATACGCGAGGCGAGTAAACATACATCGCGAGTAAACGCATACTCCAGGGGAAATGAAAATACCGAAATAAAAGCACGGTGAACTTGTTGCGATGCGCCACGGGGTTTTAGATATTGCTCATTAGAGCTCGCACCGGGGGTGAATTAAGTGGATACAAGGGAGATAAAAAACGATGGAAACAATCGGGATTAATTTTGTTATAATTAAAGGAGGTGCGAAACAAGCTCGCGAATAAAATTCACCTCCGTGTGTTTTTACGCGTGCACGTGTTTCTATTAATGAAGATAGTTATAAAGGTAATTTGATTAGCTAGAAAGTTTGTGCGGATAATCTGTAACAAAATGCTATCGTACAAGGTATGTTTGTGAAAAAATGGAATTTCCTATAGACTGCATTTTTGAAAATAAAGTAGAGCAATCGTGTATAATAATATACGTAAAAATAGCAAGTTTAAAATTTTGAACGTAATTATTTCAATATCTGGTACCTCCTTAAAAACTAAATTAAAAATAAGTCTAATCTGTTGAATAAAGTTTTTAAATATGAGGCTTCGTTTTACGGAAAAACAATTTTGAAAATCCATTAGACGTGCAATAGCTGCACGTAAGTCTCGACTTAACGGATCTCAGTATGTTTGTATCTCTAAACATGTGCACTGTCTTATCATTGCTGTTATCTTACTTGCTATCTGTTTGCACTATCGGTTTCTTTCATTCTGTATGCGATTAAACTGGTTTCGTAAATGAGGATAAAGCAATTTATTGCTTTTTAAAATTCATTCGCTGCTCATGTTGTTGCCATGCATTCTTTGTATTGTTACAATTTTTTTCCTTATCGTAAACGTCATTCGAAGTCTTTTTCTCCACAGTGAATTATTATATGCAAAAACATTATTCTACAATTTCGGTTTATCTTTAAATAATCAATCACACTCTTCCGAAGTGTACCACGATTTCTGGGGCACCCTGTATATGTGATATCTATTAACTCCTAAATCCTTTGACCAATCTGGACCCAGTTTGGAATAGTTACTCTCCAGGACCCTGTGGAAAATATAGGCTACCGTGAAACCTGGATACTCCATCCCCTCCCACTGATCTTATCCCCTTGATACTTCGTGATGAAGTTTACTGCATTATCACATAAGTAATTTCTGCTCCGGAGGGGAAAGCCAAAAATACTGTGTTTCGCGAAGCACTAAAATAATAAATTAGCCATGTTGCAGTGATAAATATCCTGATTTAGTATAGCAGAACAAAGTGATACATTATACGAATTCTACAATGACTACAATGATTCTGTTCGGAATACTAAAAATATGAAATTTGTGATTTAGATTACACCGAAAATTCTAACAGAAAATTTCGAAAATTCATCTGTCCCTTCCTTTCAAATAATGAATATTTATCGTTACCCCTGTTAGGATAAACTGTTGCTCTTCCCGACTACTTTCCTCGTCTCCGTCATTACCGCAAGTGGCCCGAACGTAGCGAATTTAAAGGCAGATACTGAAACGCGTTCATTAATAACTCCTACCCTTTCCCGTATTTCACCTTCTTCCTTTCTCCTTCTTTTCCACGGAGAAAGTTTCTCGTTACAAGAAATTAATCTCGACCACAAAGAGTTAAGAGTTCGACGATAGGAGACACGTGAAAATTGAGGGAACAAGCTCATTCTCGCGAGCGGGAAGAGGCACTAACGCTTGGGTTTTCCGGTTCTTTGCGACTCGGTGAAGAGCCGGTGCGCGCTAACAGAAGTGGAAAAGACGACATAGTTAATTATCCGTACGACGTTTCAAAGGGACGTGAAAGAGTTTTATAGTTGACGAGGTTACTTCTCAACTCGTTTAACGAGCTCTTGAGTACGCGCCACGCTGCAGACGTACAGCGCATGACATTAAGCCGCGGAAAGTTTCGCGCGAACCTGATTACGTGTGCGATAAACATGCAGGAATAAGAAAGATCGACGAGAATGCCAGGTATAGTATCGTGTGTATGAACACGAAGGGAACTTTGAAAAGCGAAGGATGAAATTGATTTCATTTCGCTTGGAATTCCCTTTGGAACGTCGAGAATTCTTATCGTTGCGAAAGTGAAATGAAATTATTACTGTATCAAGTAAAGAATATATGAATCGGTGGGGAAAGTAATAAATAATAATGTTACTGCAGTTAAATCCTCCTTTTGTTCTTACTTTTACCAAATCTTATTTCGATTACTAAACAGATTTCTACTCTTCTATTTTTCATCAATTTTCCTTTCAAGGCAATCAAAGAGAGTAAGAAATCTATATTCGTGATTGTCGTTAATATCGTCTGAGGCGTTGGCACCAGGTCAATTTTCAGTAAAACTGTCTCATTAATTAAATTAATCCACCGAAAATGTACAACCGGGTAAACGACTATCCTCAGATTCGCCGTATCGTGTCAACTTTCTCCGAATATTTAATTGCCATTTAATAAAGACCGACAAAACTGGGATACCTCGTATTTCACAGTCGCCGTGTCACGACTTGAAAGATTCATAGCGAAATCCCGATATTATCAGCGAGATTAACCTCAACGTAAACGTGTGACGAGCTGAAACGGCAGTTCGCGCTCTCCCGCTACACATACTTAGGTTAAATAATTAAACTCGCCGATGCTTCTACCCAGTAGTTATTTAAGGTTCTGTATCGTAATAACTCAGCGTGTGTTTTAATCCGAAGTTGTTCGCGCAGGGGCCGCATAAATCACGAGCGAGGCGCGTTTTATCGAACAACGACCGCGGAAAATCTGAAATTCCCCAGCTTTTGTTCACACGCGCGCCTCTTCCCCTCGAAACGCGCCAGGATCGTCCTTTATATTGTCTCGCGGGCGAATTCGCGTCCACTCGACGAGTTCTTTTCCCACCTATTCGCGGATTTTTGCCGTCTTTGAACGCGATCCCGGCGAATCTTCCCCGCCGAATTTCCACGATAATGTTGTGCCTTTCGGCGTGATGCATAGCGCCGGGGCGACATTTCCCCTCTTGAGAAAACACCGGTTAGAAGATTGGAAAATAAAAACGAGCGAGAAGAACGGAGAGCTAGAGGAGCAAAAAGATTGGACGGGGACATAAATAGTCTGTTGCATCGGAGAAGCATCGAGAAACGGTGGAATATATGTATTCGCGGAGCTCGTTTATGAAAAGCCTCAGAACAGTGTGTGTGTGTACATTGATGACAAATATTAATTTTAGGAAATTTTCAATTTCGTTATTTCAGGAAGTTTAGATTGATATTCGTCGCGACGAGAATGTAGGACTGAATGTATGATAATGGAATGAAATTATCGGATGTTTAACATAATTGGAAATGATTGGATGCTATAAATTATACGTTAAGTTTTATCAACTTTAATTTGCCACGATGTTTCATCTGAAATATTCAACTGTTTATTAAGATATATGATAAAGCGAAGCGAAAGAAAATGTTCGATTGAATCTGATACTGGATTGAATATTGTATTTATGTTGTAAATTCTAAGTGAAATTTAATAGATCTCTGTTTGTCGTGACGTTTCTCGTGGCTCGATTTAAAATATTTAACTATTTATTCTACTGCTCAAATATCCCACACCCTTTCACCCAGTTTTAATTATCGTTCAAATTCTCCATAAAATCCAGCAACTCCAAGTAATTTCACTTAAGCAGAAACGTTGAAAACTGCATTTACCATTAACAAAGCGTAACTGTCCCCCCGGATGATACTACTTCCAAGAAAATCTTATGTTTAAATGAGCGTACAAAGGGTAGCGTGACGAGTTGTCCGGCAACTCATGTGTACATTTTCTTTTTCACAGGCATGCCGTGGGACGCAGACGGACAGTGGGGTGGAGATAAGACAGGAGACAGATAGCGCAACTGCTTACACTATACCCAGCTTTGCGGATATTTTGGTCGCATACTCTACTTATGACGGTAGGTGGATGCATTCGTATAGCCGGTCGAACAGACATAGCGAGGTCGTATGTACTGTGCAGAGAAGAGAAGTTGTCTAGCGGAAGAAATACCGATAAGACAGGATACGTGTGTCTTTGTCATTGGTCAAAACGGTCACATCTATAATACAAATCACATAGAATCGCTTGATATCGAGACCAAGTGAGATAGAATTTCATAGCAAACGGTGGAGATTTCTAGAGGTTCGTGGACTGAAAATCAGGCGGAGTACCCTCTCTTGCTCCGCTAACCGTCCTCTGATCTCTGCACAGTACACGTAATCAGAGAGGCAGAACAGTAATTCCAGAAGGATAAGAAGCTCGAACTTCGCTCAGGATCGTTCGACGTCAACTCAGAATTGGTACATACAACTTCCATTGCAGTATATTTAAAAAAATTTGTCTGCGCTTTAATCAGTGACAGGCTGCAGGAAGTTTAGTACCGTCTAGTTCAAATTGAAAAATTGCAAGCAGATATTTTAAATGTCAATTCCCTGGGTGCGACGTTCAATGCTCTAATCCTCGCTATATCGCTTCCACCAACTATACACACTTCGCTCGCCCTTTCAGAAACACACACACACACATATATAAATACACAAAGGAACGTCGGAAACGCATTGCGTAGATGTTCCTACTCAGACGTGCCTAAAGAAACTCCGTATTTGGTGAAACAAGGCGTGCGACAATACTCGAGCTAGGTACGTGCTCGATGGGGACGAAGTGCGTTCGTTTTTCTCCCTACCTCAGAGAGATTGTGTCCCGCGGATTTGTGTTTCAGCGAGTGTTTGGCCTCTCAATGGGCGCGACAACGTGCGTACTGTGCACGCTTGTCGCGCCTTCATTTGCAAGTCAATGGTGGGGAAAGAATAGGACTATAAATTTTTGGCTGTTCTTCGTTGTTGTGTTCCCGCTTGTTCGCGAGCCTGGCTACAAGAATGTACACGGTATTTCATGATACGCGGATAGTAGACTCGAGATACGACTCTAACTGCAAAAGTATCGTCGTTAATCTAGATCATTGATCTAAATCATTTTCGGTTCTGAAGGTAATAAATAAGGTTAGTAAATATATTATAAAAGTTAATAAATGTATTATAAATACAATAATTAATCGTTTAAATTAAATCTTATATTTCACCGTAAATTCGATTAATTTTATATCATTCAATTGCCGGTTATCTAGCTCGTGGGCAAAAAGAGACATAAATCTCCTCCTTCCCAAGGAACTCTCTCTAAATACGCCTCTAGCCTCTCAGCAACCAATCCAAATTAGAATTTGAATTACTCTTAGGTTTACTTTTGAATTACTCTTTTTATCGAACTCGGGCACGAACTTCGAACAGAGAAAAACTCGGAACTCTATACGATCAACTTCGCTCTAACCTCGCTCTTTTCCTTTCCGGTGTTGGTAGAAACAAAGACTATTTTAATTTACCAAGTGTTCGAACTTGTTACCTTCTCGAGTTCACAACGTGAAGCTGTATCGTGATTTAATTCGAAAGATCGAGATTATCTTATAAACACGGAGGATTGATCTGTGGAAACTGAGTTAGAGATCAGCTGGTAGATGTTAGAGTTAGTTGGTAGAATTTGCTGCGGTAAAGGTTGTGACTAGGAGGAATTGATACGTAAGATACGTAAGAATTGATGAACTTGCAGAAATTGAATAATAGAGATTGATTGATGGAAATTCAATCTTCTAAAGGCTGGCTGATTAAAGGCTGATTGATCTTTTCCCTTCGAAATTTTCTTTTTCTTTTGTTGTACGTTCTATGTAGACGACAGATGATTTATAGACTTTCCTACTTGAATACGATTGAATGCTTTTTAGGTCACACTTTTTACGACATTAGAGAGAGAGAGAGAGCCACAGGGATATAAAACTCGTAAAATTTACACCTTTTCAAGACCAGTTGGTTCATAAATCTGGGTGGTCAACCGCGTTTTGATGAATAAAATATGATCTACAAGTCGAAGTAGTCAGGTCTGTCAGAAAAATACTTCGTTTGATCTGACCTACATGGTACAGCTGTTTCTAAGGGGAAAACTCTGAGATGATTTTTCGAGGAAAGCGACGTATCGTGTTATTAAATGAAATATAAAAGAGGGAGGGATATGTTTGCATTCTTACTTGTAATTTTCTACATTGAAGTAAGGTAATTACACGTACATATTTCGTGGGGAGATATTTTCAAGATACTTCAAATTAAATTAATTAAGGATTTTATATAGATGGTTATCGTCTAAAGTAATTAATTTGTGCGGAACAAGGAAGGAAATGATAAGATTAAAGTGGTCTTGAGCAATTTCATTGAAAAGAAATTCTTTCAACAATTGCTGTGCTCACTCTTGAAGATATTATTTGCTGCAAATGTCTCTGAAAAGAGACCTCTTTTATATGAACTGCAACATTCCTAAGAGATACTACTTCTTCCATTCGTTCCAATAATATACGAATATATGGCAGCGAAACGCGATGAGTAAAATATTTGTTCCGAAGAAGAACTTCCAACTATTATATTCATTAGACTGAAATTATTCCGGCGTGCAATGAAACTGGACTATTAATTTCCGTAGTGAACGGAAGCTGTATAGAATCATAACAAACTAAGTCAATTAGCTATGTTAAAGAGAAATTTAACGCAGCAAATTGAATTTCATTATAGACCGAAAAGTTGCTTCTTAATATTTTCACTAAAAGTACTTCATAATCTCGATTAAAATTTTCATAAACCTATTCACCAACGTGTTCGAATTATTCATTAACGTTCTCATAGATGCTTCGAATAGCATAGTGATAACTGTAGAATATTCATATCTATAGATAAAAAATATTTCATATTTCCAGTGTAATAAACATTTTAAATAAAACAAATTCTTTGAACACTGCTGATGTATGCTGTTGTGCATAAGTATTAGGACATCTGTTATGTTCGTGTAAAAATTATAGTGCTCTGGGGACACTGACTTTCCGCGTAGCTGAGAAACACCCTTCATATTCACGAAAACCTGAAGTACATTATTTATATCCTTCCAATGCATGTGCATATATTTATACGTACATACACTGCGTGTTATAACTACAAAACCACCTCGATATTTTCAATTCCCATGTATTGTGATTAAAATAATAAGAAACGAAGTATGTCTTGCTCAAAGGTCTATTGAGAAACAATGTTTCCCCAGAAAAAGATAGAATGCGTATAAATCTCGGGGGGGAAACAGTAAGAAACTGATTTGTTGTTGTTTCATAATTACAGAAGCATAACTGTAATGCGTCTTATTACAGCCAAATTAAACTTAGGATACGATAACACGAAGGCCCTCCTCTATTTCCAATTTACTCTATTATTCGATTGTGTACGTATACATACACATTGTGTAGTTACATTATTCACGCATACACTCGCAGAGACACACGGGTCGTTGGATTTTTCTCCCAAGTTCAGCTTTCTTGTATGCAGCGGCAATTTCTGGGGAACTAGTTCACACGCACGAATATGCTAAATATGTAAATTGATTCGAAATCCGCGTATAATAGATACCGCGTTGTTCGAGAGAGCACTGTGATTTCTACAAGGCTACGATCGCGAGGAGCAAGCGTCGTTCGGCAGCCTCGTAAACACTGACTGAGGATATATCGTCCTGCCCGATTTCTGTACAATGTTTACGCGCAGTTATAGCCTAGCAAAAAACCTCAGGATGAGTCATCCTATCGCGTGTGATATGGGCCTAGCCTTAATATCTCGTATCATAACATCGCGTGAAACTTGAGATAGTTTTTTCTGGTCAAACATAAGAAACGCGAGCCAGAGTCGTTGTATGTACATCGAGCCAAACATGGAGCTAGGTGTCCTTTTGAATATGAAATTATCGCGAGTTGCTCTCGAGAGTATCTCTCGAGGGTGGACACTGCGTCTGAGAGTCGATAGTGCTAAATAATTTGATATTAAACTTGTGATGACAATGAGGCTTGCTTCCCATTCGGTAAGCAGATTTTAGTAGATTTCAGTAGACATCTATGGAATTCAGCAGATTTCTCATAAATTTTAGTAGATTTCTTTGAGTGTTAGAGAGTTTCAATAGAAATTAGAAGGATCTAGTAGATTTTAATAGAATCCCGCAGATTTCAGGAGTTTTTAGGTTTTGGTCGATTTCAACAGAGTTCGGTAGATTTCAGTGACGTATCCTGACACTTACGAAGAGGACCCTATCTTTAAATCACAAGTGCAAAAATTTTGTCACAATACAAGAAAGTACGTAAGGATGAAGATATACTCGTAAATGAAGTATTATATTTAACGAAAAACGCGAACTGCATTGATTTCAACGCTTCGAACGTTGAAAGTCGTAACGCGAAACGACACGACACGCCGGGCAGCCTCGAAATTGCTGCAGAATCTGAAATCAATGCGAAAGTGCATTAGCAATAATTTCGCCTATCTTCGTCTCGCGTAACGCGGCGGGATACGCGCGTACCGGTAATATCAGTTTATCCGATTTAGCCTATCTAGATTTAAACGATAGGGATGTATGTAGCGATGCGTGGGCGACCTACAATCGTAGCAGCCAGCCATTTGGAATATTAGGCTTAGGGAGAAGCGATCTATCGACATCCTCGAAAGCTCAATTGATTAGAGCAATCGCCCGACAAACGGAAGATCCGGCACCGAAAGCTGGTCCAGAAAATCAATCGGATGATTCTTTTCCACCCTGGCACAATGGAAGCCACTTCGAACACCTGCTACGGTGTAATTCTTCGGGTAAAAGCGACGTCCCCCGAGAGAAAGGTTTACTGATCCATGACTTTCCAGGGCTCCCGTTCTATCCATGGAAATTCTTAAAAATTTTCTTCCACTTTTTCTTTCGATATTTAGCTACATCTTGTTGCATACACTTACTGAGAAAAGTGAACCTTTTACAACTTGGTTTTCCTTAGTATATGAGAAGAAAGATTGCGGTTGATTAGAATTTTAC